ATTTTGGATTTATAAAGTGTCAAGGTGAGTGCAAATTTAATTTGTACTTATGTTATAGAATAAACATTGGCTTGCGATGAGCCAGTGACGGAGTTACTATGGTAAGAAGTGACTCCTAAAATGTTATTTAAATTGTGATGCATGCATAACATTATTTATGGATGTTTTATACATCATTGGATAGGATTTGTGATAAGTCTATTTTCCATATTGGAATGCATGATTCCATAAATACAAGCATGTGATTGATATGATGCTTATGTTTGCATGAGTACATGAAAATGGGTATATGTGTCATATGTTATTATATATGACATGATTTACATAATTACATGTATATGCGATATGTGATACTAAATTAAATGAATATATGAAAATATGATATCAGCTGTATGATATGTCTGACATGTTATTTTATGTGACATGATCGATGTGAACATATGAGAATAAAATATGAGATACGTGAATCTAATATATGTGAATACATTCATATGTGAGCAAGATATGACATACGTGTTTATATGAACATATGAGAAATGATATAAGCTATATGATATGATCTACATTATTACATGCACATGTGATATATGTGATATGATATGAACCTATGTGATATCGGTTATATGAAAAAAGATATATGAGATCATACAAGAATGTTATACAATGATCTATGAGATCATACAAGAATGATACAAGTGATGTGAACTATTATAAATGATAATGCTCATGTCATGTGATATGAGAGTTAGTGGTATAGTTGGCATGCCAAGAATCGAGGGTTACATCCTTCAGGATAACAAGTCCTCCGGGACACAGATTACATCCTTCGGGAAATGACATCTTGTGGGATGATAGGTCCTTCGGGACACAGTTTATACGAGTTGTGGTAATAGCATATGTGTGCACAACCTCATAGTACTCACATACCTTGAGTTCTCAGGAATGTTCATGGGCTTATAAAAGATATCAGTACTATACATGGGCTAATACATGGACTAATACATGGGATTATAAAATATATCAATATTGTGCATGGGCTATAAAAGTTATAAAAAGTGCTTGCATTATTATATGATATCATGTTATTATTGTTTACACTGAATCAAAAGTATACATGGGCTAGTACATGGGCTATTAAAAGAGATAACATAAATACACTATATGTGATGTATATGTTTTGTTATATGAAATATATTCCAAGAGTTATATGTGATACTGTGTGTACTGTTGAGTGAAATGTATTACATGATAATAATAGAGATCATGATAATGATGTTGATGTTGATAATGATGGCATATATACACGTATGCATTATGTTATATGAAATATTATATGGTTTCTATTATATGCTTTATATGCCTCACTAAGTCAACGACTTAGCGTGTGATTGTTTCACACATAGGTTCCGAGAAGAAGTAGAATGATAAAAGTTAAGCAAGACAGGCCAGTTTCTCCTTTCCAAAGATCAGATCAGAAAAGAATTGAATAGTATATATTTTGTAAACTGATTATAGTTGGCATGTAAATAAAGATTTGAATCCGCTATGCGCTAATAAGTTTTGTAAAATCTTATGATTGTATTTATGTAAAATTATTCAGTTGATTTAGTGAAAATTTTAAAATTATTCACTATTTTGTACAAGTAAATGTTTTGAAAAGTCAATGTGACACCTCGGACTTGTATTTGGGTCGGGTACGGGTTTGGGGTGCTAAATTTCTTATCACCACCCAGCCCAATCGAAGCACCTCCCCGCCATGATCAAAACCCCCAAAACAATTTATGGATAGCCATTGCCGTTTGCCGGAATCGATCCCTTGATGTTTCCCCGAAAACCCACCCCGACGCCTCGAATTTTGGATGATTCCAGCCACATCGGACCTCCGTTCGCCTAACCGCCACTATATTTAACTTCCTCATCGCCTTCCGCTCAAAACCCAACTGGTAGGTCACGTCGTAGTCGTCGTCCGCCGTCGTGGGTAAGTTTCAGTGTTAGGATTTGGATTTTTTTGTAATTTAAAAGAAATAAGGGGTTTTTTATGAATATAATAATATTTTTAATATTTATTTTTTTAAAAAAATAAAATTACCAGATTATGACACGTGTCACTTAATGGAGAAAACTAACGGTCTGTCACGGCGTGACTCATTTTGAGTAATGGAATGAAACATTAGACACCAAACTGGAACGAAAAAAACATTAGACACTAAACTGGAAAAACGAGCATTCATTGGGCACCTTTTGTATATTAAAGCCCAACCAAAACAAGACAACAAAATTTTGTAGGTGTTCGATTAAAAAACTTGAACATATAAAATCAGTCAAAGCAAGAAATGAATAACCCTAAATAAAGATACAAATTAAAACACTAAAACTTATCGACTGTTGTGGGTTTGTTTTTCTCCCTCGACAAGTTGTTTTCTCTCTCGCTTTTTCTCACTTTTGACAACCTACGTACTTTCTCTATCGCTTGGTTTTCGATTTCTTTGTAGAGGTCTGATTTTGGGAAGATATTCAATCGTGATTTTTGAGTAAAGGTCTAATATTGGGAGTGTATTCCATCGTAATTTTTGGGTATCGGTTTGATTTTAGGAATTTGTTTACTCTTCGTTTAGAGATTAGGGGAAAACTAGGAATTTTTGGGTATTTGTCTATTATAATAGGTTAGTTATTATTAAAAATAAAATTATTATTTTTTTCATTAATGCCACATCATCAAGCGGTCACGTCAACAATTTTATTTGAGTTGGAAACAGTTGGTGTCCACGTCAACAGAAACTAACGGTTCTGTTAGTCAAAACGGTTAACGGTATAAAATGATACAATTAAACAATTTTGAGGGCTAAATTGATGCGAAAATATGATGGGGAGAAATTGCTAAATTTGATCTATTACAGGGGCAACAATGACCCTTTAGCCTTGTTTTTTTTAGTTTCAAGAGTCAATCTCGAGACTCATTATACCAGTTTTGATTAGGGTTATAAAGGAGCCAAGTCGAGTTCAAGTAGTGTTGAGTTCGATTCGACTTGAAAAGTGTAAAACTTAGCTCGACTCGACTCGAAAACTCGCAAGCTTAAAATTTTCAAGTTCGACAGAATTTCAAACTCGAACCTTAAATACATGAAAGCCTTATATAGTATTTAAAAAAGAACATACAAATGGTAATATTATTATTAATTTAATTTCAAAAATCTAAAATTTTTAATATATTATTTTTTTGAGTAGCTCTCAAGCTTTTCGAATTGAGTATCAAGTAGTTTGCTTCAGCTCGTTAAAAATTCGAGTTGAGTTCGAGCTCGAGTTGAGTCCATTTGATTCAAGTATTGACCGAACTTTGATCGAGTTGATATTAAATAACTCACGGTCAGTCTCGTCTGATTTAGAGCCCTAATTTTTATACTCAACTTTATAGATGTATTTAATGATTGAGAAATCCTTAGTTGAAAAATGAAGTTAAGATAGTGAGTAAACTAATTTAAGAATCAAACCATTCTAAATCTTATACCTCGATTCTTGTAATTTTTGTCAATTTCTCTTTCATATACTCAATTCACGCTTCTTTAAAGTCAACACCTATGAAAAGCTTTGACCCGTATTGGACCATTTTAAAGTAATTAATTCTTATATGAAGAAAAAATAGTGTAAATTTTCTCTCTTTTTTTTGGTTATGTATCACATAAATCTTATGTTCTTACGTTCTGTTTTTATCCTTATTTCCTCAAAAGTATCCTCCACGCATCAATCTCGTTCATTTAGATTAAAGTTTGGTTTACTAACACCACCACCTACATTTATTCCTTGTTCAATTTAGCAATGCCCAACAACAAGCTTAGTTTAACTAAGCAAACATAGTTTGGTATTTATGGTTTAGGTTGCTTTGAGACCATTCTATTTAAGACCAACTGCCCACTGTTCTTTTACATCCTTTTACGACCTAACTGCATAAAGACATGGAACCATTGGGGTTAGCAAAGTGGTTCAAATCTGAAAATTCAACCAAAACCAACCACCATGTCTTACGCTCCATCCCAGAGGGTCCACCACACATCATCTCCATGACCTAAAACTAACCCCAACAATACTAACGTGACTCACAACTCACAAGTTTAGTTTCTGTCACCACCGGGACAAACAATGTCCTTGTCTGAGGGAAAGTATGTTTTACAAAGTAATATAATGTACTCTTATAACGGTTTATGGTTTCTTTCAAAATCGCAGTAATTGTCATGGTTTTATGTTGGAAAATAATGGATATTTTAGAACTTACAGGCATATAATTTATTGTTCAAATTAGATTTTTGAATAATAAAATTATGGTCTTTTATTGTATTTCATGAGACCTTTAAAACAATATATAATATGCTCCAAATATTTAAGACATAAATGAGAAATCGATGCTTAAAGTATGCTACATGTAAATGTTGTTGAGAAAAGTTAGTGCTCAAAACACTTTCATCTGCGTGGAAAGAGTAAGGGGTTTAAAATGTGTATATATACTAGAACCAATTTGATGATTAGTGAAGTGCTTGCATAATGTATGTGATGTGAAATATCTAGGCATAGCGATTGCAAATTATTTCCTTGGGAAAAAAAAGTAAATTTAGTTTTAGTGATAGAAAAAGACTGTCAGATCCTCCATACAAGTGATCCAACCTCTGCTCCAGAACTTATTTCCTTAATCCTTAGATTATTTATGTTTTATCTCTGACATTTTATACCTGTTACCTAACACCATCTAAAAAGGAGATTATATGAAATCCGTTCATTGATTCATCATTTCAAGGATAACTTTAATGCAGTTTTGGAGTTGGGAGGTATTTTGTAGGCAAAAGGATGAGTTACATACATGTAGATATGTGCCCATGATGATATCAAATGTGACAATTAAACAAATCAGTAAATGGCAGCAAAGTTGCCACTTCCCACTATAGATGAAGCTCACTACCCAACCTTTTCGTCATTGGCTCGAACCACGCTGGAACTACTGGGTTTATCAAACATCTGTTTAATCAAAGGGATGATGATTAGGTAGGCAAACCCGTCACAATTATTTCTTTACTTTAACTATGGATCTTCCACTTGTATCTAACCACATATCTCTTGAAAACCTGACCCCCCACAATCGCAGCAACCGGCTTCGTATAAATTACCCTTTTCTCTCTATTTTTCTGCCACTGCAGAACTATAGCCTCTAAGCCATGGATTCTAGACCCTAAATAGAGAGAATCGGGTAAGGCCTCAACTTTGCTTTTGGTGTTTTCATATCCAGTCCTGTTGGTTTTTCCTTTTTTTGGTTTATAGAAGAGGCAGCATGTTTGGACCATTTTATTGAGAAGATGGGGAATCCTGCAGGAAAAATCGGTCCCAGATTTTGCTTATCTTAGAAACAAAGAAGATGCTCATTTTATGTCTTTTTTCTAGTTGGAATCTTTACAACATTATTGTAGTACTGTAAGCATAAAGGGACCTCCCCTCCAACACCTTTTGTTTCAATTGTTCTGCCTTGTTATCTGCGCCTGTGAATATGCATCGCCGCCTGCTCGAGACGGAAGTGAGCTTGCCGCCGGGAAACGGGAACAAAACCCATGATTCTTACATTAGCGAGACGACTTTCGACACCAACATGGTGGTTATATTGGCAGCTCTTTTATGTGCTCTAATCTGTGCTTTGGGCTTGAACTCGATAGTTCGTTGCGCTCTACGTTGCAGCCGGAGGTTTGCGATGGAAACCCCAGAGCAAGAAGCCGCTCGGTTGGCAACGACGGGTCTCAAGAAACGAGATTTGAAACAAATCCCGGTGGCTGTTTACGGAGAAGGCGTGAGCTTTCCGTCGACCGAGTGCCCCATTTGCCTGGGAGAGTTCGTCATTGGAGAAAAAGTCAGAGTGCTGCCAAAATGTAAACATGGGTTCCATGTGAGGTGTATCGACACATGGCTGCTATCACACTCATCTTGTCCGAATTGTCGGCACTCGCTGCTTCAACTCAGTGCACCGAAAACCGAGACATCACAGGGACTCAGTTCCGTACGACAACCAGATGATCATCCAAATGGCAGCGTTGCTGTGGTTCTTGAATAGGGGAAGCCATTAAATACGATTTAGAGCTTTACCGTACTTCTTGTAGCTGTTAGATTCTTTTACGGTGAAGATAAAACTGTTAAATTAACATTTAGATTTTGGGGAAGTAATGAAAGAATGATTCAGTAACAAGGTTTGAGTCAACTCGACTTCTTTTTTTGCATGTGCAACTGCACCGGGCATGTGCACATGGTTTACTAAGTACCTTTGTAGGAATTATTTAAAGCACTGGCCCCTCTTGTTTTGCACTTTCCGACTTCCTTCCTTCGCTTCGCATGGGAAAATATTGACTTCAAGTCCCAAAAGATTTTATATTTTTGGGGAATTCACAAGTACTCTTATAAATATGGATGATCAAAATTTGATTCGACTCAAAAAATTAATTTTTTTAAATTGGTATAATGCTAAAATTAGCTACTAACGTTTATCAAAATTATCATTTTACCCCATATTTTATTTTTTGGAGCATTTTGGCCCATAATATTTTATTTTAGGACAAAAAGACTCCTAACATTTAATAGAATAATCACTTTTTCTCTTATTCTTTTTTTGGGACATTTTTTCCCTCAATATTTTATTTTAGGTTAAAAAATACTCATATTTTAGAGCGTTAATCGTGTGTTAACTAGTGATTTTTATCTATATAGGGAGCTTTTTGCCCCAAAGTGAAATATTGGGGGCCAAAATGCTCCCAAAAAAGATATGGGCCAAAATGATCATTTTTGTAAACATTAGGAGTTATTTTTGACATTATGCCTTTTAAATTTTGAGTTATTTGAGTCAGATTATTCAAGTCAACCTGAATTTTACTTTCATTTTTTTAGTCTGAATCGAGTTAGAATTTACCAATTTGAGAAATTGAAAATCAAATTTTAATTATTTACAATTTAGTCATTGATTACTTTATTTCTTAAGATACTTGATTTAAAGTTTATTTTTTTACCAAATTTAAACAACACACTCCTAAACCATTGTAGAATACCTATGTAGCTTCAATTCCTTTTTTTTTGAAAACTAATTTCCTTTTTTTTCAATTTAGTCTCTTAATTTTACATGATTTCCTTATTTCTTCAACTATTCATTCATTTTAAGTCTCTTTTTTTTTTAAATTTAAATCACATGTTCCATTAACACTATAATATCAATGTAACTTCAATTCTTACTGTTAACAATAAATTTATTTCTTTTTTTCAATTTATTCAATTTGATCATTTGGTTGTTTTCTTTATAATTTTTTCTTCACATCAATTCTTTTGACTCTTGTACCTTGCCATCAATAATTTATCTTAAAATACTCCTTGTTTAAAAATATCATTATAAATTTATATGTTATTTGATTTATTAAATAACATTACAAATCTTACTTACACATGTGAACAAAAAATAATATATATATATATATATATATATATTATGATTAGAGAAAGTGTTTTTAAATTGAAATCAATATGTACCTTAATATTATAAAAAATTACAAATATGTACAAAAAAATAATATAAAGAAGATATTTAAATGATATTAAATAACATTACAAATCTTACTTACACGTGTGAAAAAAATAATACATACATACATGCATATATATATATATATATATATATATATATATATATATATATATATATATATATATATATATATATATTATATGATTAGGAAAAGTATTTTTAAATTGAAACCAATATGTACCATAATATTAGAGAAAGTATTTTTAAATTCAAAGGATAGCATGGTCGCGGCTGGTGGTCAGTTGCTAAATGCTTAGGGTGCTTGGATATTCGGATTTACCCGGAGCTCGGGGAGATGCTCAATTCTCGTCGCCCAACTTTGGGCGATTCATGACATCTTAAGCCATGCTTGGAGATAAGGCTTTCGATTCATTGAGGTTGAAATCAATAATCATGAGGTTGCAAGTATTTGTAACAAAGTTTCAGAGGGGAAGTGTGTAGACACTCATTTTCTTAAAAGATAGTACTAGCAAGAGTTTCTCTTTTAGGAGGACTCTTCCACCACAATATCTTTTAAAGCAACAACCACACCAACAAACGTACAACAACCGAGCAAGGAGTCTAGTTGCATTAGGATTCTATTGTTAATAGGATTCTAAAAATAGTTAGCTTTTTTCACTATAAATACATGTAATCATCCCCATTTGTAACACACGATTTATATACAAAATACAGAGGAAAACACGGAAAATACAAAGGTAAAGCTATTGTAAACGATTCGAAAAGGAAATAAAATGTAGCATCTTTTTTACTTTTGATTCGGTCACTTACATTTACGTTTTAATTATTATTATTTTATTTATTTAACTTTATTTATACGCACATTTCTCTTGTTACTCATTTTATTTAATTGTTTTGTTATTTTTCTTTTTCTTTTTTCATATAATATTTTTTTACATTTTATACATTTTCCTTTTTACTTTAGTATATATTTTTATTTTTTTAGATTATATGTATATATATATATATTATTTTATTATCAGTTTTATTAATTTATATATATATATATTTACTATTTTTTATTTTTTATTTATTTTATATATATATATATTATTTTTACTTTTTTATTATTTTATTTATTTGTTTTATTTATATTTTTTTCTTCTTTTTCTTTATTTCTTTATTTTTTTATATTTATTTTACGTACTATTTTATCTTTACTTTCTTTATCTTATCTTTTATTAATTTGTTTTTTCTTCATTTTAATTTTATTTATTTATTTATTTCTTACCTTTTTATCTAACATGGTTTTTTGACATTCTTAAGAACACGCCTTTAAACTATCTAAGGTAAGTAATGTGATCGTATTTTTACCTTTTAATTTTAAATTACAATTTTCTTAATTTAAGACAACCGGCAAATTAATTGGTACCGAAAGGGTGGTTCAAGGGTGCTAATCCTTCCTTAACCGTAACCGACTCCCGAACCCGACACATTTCTAGTAAAAACGCAGATCAGGTAAGATGGTGTCCGACCCACCTAAATTCATTTTAAAGTAGTCGGTGGCGACTCCCAACCCAATTATTTCAAGTCGAAGCCTAATTCGGGGCCCAATCGAAAGACGGTTACGACAGCTTGGCGACTCTTCTGGGGACAGGTAAGTGAGTCAGACCGAAATTAATTTCCGGTTGTCTTTTTTAGCGAAAATTACAAGTTTAAATTTTAATTTATTTATTCGATTCTAATTGTTTATCTTTGATTATTTTTCAAATAAATAGTTATACTGACGTTTTTTAATAATTTCAGATTTTTCAAAATTTTCATCTCAGGCTCTATACCCGAGCTCCGAACCCTTTTAAGTGGGGGCGAAAACGACGCCTTCGTGGGAATTTATTCTCCGTATGGGCCTAGCAAGTAACCTTCGTGATTCATATACCTTATGTCTTCGTGTGAATTTATTCTCCGTATGGGCATAAGAGAATGTATCCTCTCGAGTTTAACTTAGTCCACATAAGCTTGTGATGGGCTTAGGACTAAGGGTCTGGTAAGCCCAAGGGGGTACCGGCAAGGAGAACTCGGGTACCGTTTTTTAGAACCTAAACCGAGAGGCTATGGAGAATTAGAGCCCACCCCAAAACCTCATTCCAAACCCTAGGTTATTTTGTTTCATGCTTTACTTTCTGTTCAAAGCATGTGAACTAGAAATTTATGCGGTTAGGACTTGTTCAAAATCAACTTGTGGGATAGAGATCATGTCCGGGTAGGAATAATAAGTATGTGGGGTAAATATCATGTAGGGTAGGACTTTTATTTTCATGATTGTTTTGATTATTATCTTTACCTTACTAACTCTTTTCATTTTTCTCTCTTTTATTTTTATTTCAATCATCTATATCATTCAAAAGAGGTGTTGATCCACCAAAAAATGTGTTCGTTAACCATAAATAATTTGCATTAATGGACAAAAGGGTTGTAATACAAGAGATAAGAACGCAGGGGTCCGACTATGGTCAGAAAAGACTCAGAAAGAAAATGAGGACAATCTGCAAGGCAACTATGTGTCACATTCGATCAAGAAGACATGGTGCCCACAATCAAGTACATCAAAAGTTAACTTTTCAAAAATAGGTTGACAAATGTGGTAGGGGCAAGATGAGAAAAAGATTACTAACCTCGAGAATCCATTCAAAGACAATAAGAACAAGATGGCAAGTCATTGTCGACAAATTCAAGAAACAAGCAAATGAACTTCAGATAATCCCTTTGATGGAGGATTTCAATGGAGTTTCCGATTCAGCAAAGGATGAAAGCCAAAGATGCAGTCATTCGATGCTTTTGGGAACCAGTACAAAAAAATAACTCAACATTTTCACGGTTCATCCAAAGAGGTCGGAGCGGTTCAACAGGTTATTCAACCGGTGAAAGACGAAGACAAATGACTAGTCAACCTGTTCTGGGTCTAGAGGATTTAGTCTGGATGTACCTTTAAATATGTTTATTGTCTCTTAAAAGATAAACACTTTGTCCCAATAAAGATTATTTATAATAACAGTCTAACAGACATGTTTTTGGATCAATGCCTCGAGCATTTCATGCATTTTGCATCTACATTTCATTTTTAAGCATTTTCATAAACATGAAATTTCTTCATGGAGGATTCGACGAAGTGGTCTTAACCACATAACACCACATGGAAGCAAGATTTTAACAATTAAAGAAAAAACTGAAATCAGTACAGTGGGAGCTTGATCAGTTGATTGTAGGACTAAGCCTGCCAGGATGATCTGAGAAAAGAGTCCCCGTCTCCTAAGGGCTACGATGTTGAAGTTGTTTGCAGTTACCACATAGGAACCCCCAAACATTCCTCTGAGAACTATAAGGCACTGAAGCGCAAGATCCAAAACCTGATGGCTTCAGGGGCATGGACAGCCGAAGAATGAGGCATTCCATATGCCATTTACACTTAGAGGATTGTTTTGTTTGAACACATCTTTGATCTTTTATGTTTGTTTAATCTTTTAAACGATTGAATTTATGCTACTTTCTAAGGTGGAGCAATTGAACAAATTTTAATCTTTAGTTCTTCGAATATTAAATGAATTAAGGATTCTTTTAATTCTTCAAGAATTATAGATTTTTGACATATGGCAAGATTATACCGTTCTTATCTGTCT